GCAGTTCTGAATTCCTTTTCAGGGTAGACAGGGCTCTAGTTCACTGAGCCAAGTGCATCACCATATTGGTGCTGTTTCTCAAGTTCCGGAATCCTTTTTAACATAGCATGGGGAGGGAGTCTCGTGATAATCCAATATTCATCAGCTAGATGTTACCAAATTTCTCTGTATATGCATATTGATAATTGCACATTCGCACCCCAGGAAAGAGGAATAGATTAATTGCCTTGCCCCCTCCGAAACACACACCTCAAGAAAGTCTTTACATGGAACACTTTCAAAGCAGTTCATTTCGACAGAAAGGATCATCCTAAATGATTCTAATACAGATGTAGACATAAGCATAGATGAGGAAGGGGTGAAGCCAAGTTCTTTGGGAGCAGAAAGCAAGATGTTTGGCAGCTACTATCTTGTTCACAGTTGAGTCCCCAGAGTTCAGTCCTCATATATGACTCAAGGAAGCTGATCCAATGGCATCATTGAATAAGTGAGTAAGTAACACCGCATAGTATCCTTTCTGGTCTTGATTTCCTGCAGCCATGTGTTACCAATTACTCTCAACTTCTTCCATGTGCTTCAGCTGATTTTCCTCTTTATCTTCTTCCCTAGTCTGAGCCCTGGAAGCCATCTCCTAGTGTTTCCACCCCTACAAAAGCCTCCAAACTATACTCCAGTTTCTCTCCATATTTTGTCCAATTTATTCACCATTCTACTCTTCTTTCACATACCTTCTCTCCCTCAGAGGCCATGTTTAGCTTTCAAGTTGTCACCTGCTTCAAACATGAGGCAACTGACTGGTGTTCAAGTCACTCAAACCTCCATGGGTTAGGATACTTCCATATAAGCCCTCTCATCTACCCACTTTCATAATCTTCTCTAATCTCTACCTAATTTTGAAACTATTGTTCATGTCCTGCCTTCTCATGATTCTGGGTTCTAGTACTCAAAGTCAGGTCCTATCTTTGAACTTGGATTTAATTTCTTGTCTTTACCACATTACTAAGCCTTTGCTTGGCCATACCTATTGTGTTAGCTAATTTCATGTTGTTATAATAAAATACTATAACTAAATACATTTGAGGAAGAAAGATTTTATTTGGGCTTGTAATCCAGAGGGAGAGCTCATGCAGGGTGGCATGGCAGCAGATGGCGGGAAGAGCAAGCCAAGCCATCACGTCTTCAACCATTAGCATGAAGCAGACAAAGTGACTTAGAAGTGGAGTGAGGCTATGAACTGCCGAAGCCCGCTTGCATTGCTGCACTTCCTCAAGTAAAGCTAAGCCACACAACCCAACAGTGTTATTAACTGGCGAGCATGTATTCAAATACATGAGCCTACAGCAGGCATTTCTTATTCCAAATACCACACCCATCAGAAAGTTAAGGCTATAAGCGGTATTCTAATCTTTTTCATCAAAAGGTTAATCATAATGCCATTAATATTGTGGTCCTGAATTGTTCATGATATATTTCTGAATAAGTTAAAAGTGAATATAGTGTTTAGTGGCAAAGTATCCATGGGAAGCCTAGATGTTCTCCGAGACTAATAACATCTCTTGGTCCTTCTCTGTATTTACTGAACATGTCAGTCATAATTCTATTGATTCAAAACACTTCTCAGAACTTCATCTCTGTCAGCCCAGAAGCAGGGTAGCCAAGGCAGGGTGGTTGTAATTTTCATATCAGCATGAGCTAAACAATGAGTTCTGTGTCAGCATGAGCTATATAGCAAGACCCTGTCAATATCACCATCACCATCACCATCATCCTAACCATCACCATCACCATCACCACCACCATCATCACCATCAGTCATACACTTCTTACATTTTACAGTTTGTCTCACTTTCTCTTCCTTTCTCCTTCTAGACCTTGACTTCACTGACACCCTACTTCATTTATCTTCAAATAACCAGCATTTAGGAGGCATCTGACAGAGCAAAGTTACAATAATTGTAAAATTAACATACAGTACTCTAAGACTTGGAATGAATACTTCCGGCTCATTAAATCACAGGAATCAGTTGACAAGTGATGAATCTGAAGTTTTGAGGGACTCGAAGTTATCAAAGAGCTGGAATCTGAGAAGTTATTTCACATGCAGTGACCTACCATCTAAAATAAACTTAAAAACTGCAATCCCTGCAGATCTGTGCCTGGTTTCTAAAGGTCTAGAAACCTCTTGCCATTGCTTTATGTCAGCATTTTTTCAGAGAAGCACATTCATACTTGGTCTTAGATCCTCAAAGGGGACTGTTATCTTAAACAGGTTGAAAATCACTGTTTTAAATTGTTTAGGCAGCAAAATAATATCCCTTGACATTTTCTTATCAGTTAGCAGTAATGAATCAACTAATGTACAAGAGAAGAGATAAGTGGGCATCCATGCACTTGAGAATGGGACACAGTTATTTAAGAACACTGAATCACAGAGAAGTCAGTGTCCTAAAATATTGCTGGCAATTGGTTGGAAATGTTGCTACAGCTTGCATTCCCGAAGTTCGTGAATGAACCACAGGGTCTCAGCATCATGTTCAACACTGGAAGAACCAGTGTGCCCACACCCTCCTTTGTAGCCCTTCTACTCCACTTATTAAAGACACACGGTGCAATCAAAACACCCTCTGCCTTCTATCAGCTTTCCGCTCCAGTAGCCTTTTGGAATGCTCTTGTTCCCCTCACCTTGCAGTCCATTTCAACAAAAGCTTAAGAAACAAGGACCAAGAATGAGGAGGACACAATTTTCATGCAACCCAGCTGTTGCTGTATGTTAAGAGAAAAAAAACATGTTGCGATAGAGCACTGGATTTCAATGATAGACAATGTCAAATTAGGCAAGATGAGAACGTATTATATCCCTTGTCTTCTACCTAAAACAAACAAACAAAAATTTATTTCTACTTATTATAGTGTTCCCTGGAGATAATGTATGAGGAGGGGAATCCAACACCTAGGAGTAGCCACAGAGCTGAGTACAGTAGCCACATACTTCTCTTGATGGTCCTTAAAGCATGATCAAATTAAAACAGGAGAATTTGTTGGAGCTTATTTCCTATTGTTTCTGTAACAAACCACAGTAATCACTCTATCATCATCAATATTAATAGGAGCTGGAGAGACAGCACAGTAGGAATGAGAGCTTGCTGCTCTTTCAGAGGGTCTAAGTTTGGTTCCTAGCATCCACAGCAAGTGGCCACCTGTAACTTCAGCTCCAAGGGATCCAACCCCCTCTTCTGGCCTCTGCAGACTCACAAATACATCTATCTATCTATCTATCTATCTATCTATCTATCTATCTATCTATCTATCTATCTATCTATCTATTCCTTGACTTGGGAGAATTAGGACACCCAAAATCCAAAACTGCTCATGTTCCCTGCAGAAAATGCAGTATTTGTATAAGAGATCATACTTCCTCCCATGCACTTCAATCATGTCTAGTTTACGTACCATGCCTAGTACTGCAAATGGTCCCTGTGTGCATCATCTCAGGAACAGTAATAAAAACGAACTGCAGATTAGAAATCCAGAGGTTGACTGTACTGTAATGTTGGTGGCTTTAAAAACAACAATACAGATTTGTCAGTTTCGTGGCTCTAGAGGTCAGAAGTTCAGGGACAGCTCAGCGGACTAACAGCAAACTATTGACCAGCTGCACTTGCTGAAGGCCCTTAGGGAAGACCCATTTCTATCCATCCTTTGGGTCCTAAAAGTTAATGCAGAGGCTTTCCCTCAAAGCATATAACCTGCATAGAACCTGATAAAGAAACCTCGGCACTAAAACATATCATGAGTGTCCAATGGAGATTTTGAAACAAAGGAAATCGTTTTTTATTATCTGGAACCTCCAAGCTTGGCCCCTGGCATTTCTTGGCAACAGCTTAATCAGATAGCCCCTCTCTGTACTCCAATCTATTTCCTACACTCCTTATATCTCTACTGTGCCCTGAGTGATGCCTTGCCCTGTACTGAATTCTTATACAGTTTTAATGTATACTTGTTATTAGGTGATTAACTGACTGGAGCATTTTGCTTATGTGTTGCATCTTTTAAAAAACAGATTTTTTTTTATTACAACAACAATAATGTACAACTGATGGGAGTCATTTCCCTTCTTCTAGCATATAGGGATAGAGAATCAAATCCAGGTCACCAAGCTTGGTGACAAACACTTTCACCTAGTAAGCTGTCAGGATAGATGGCCCACAGGTTGGCAGCTTCTTAAAAGATTGAATGCACAACTCACATTTATATTCCTGGATATTTGTCCCAGAGAAATGAAGACTTATGTCCCATTCAAAACCTATGTATTATGTTTACAGCAGGTTTGCTCTGTGTAGCCAAACCCAGAAAATGCACAGTTAATAAGATACATCCATACTGTAGAATAGTTTCCAGCAAGCAAAAGGAAGCAACTACTGATATCCACAGCCATGAGGATGAAATGCAGAGAGTTACATTTGGTGAAAAAAAAAATTACATCAATCCCCAAGCGTATATGATTCAAATTCTATAACATTCTTTATTTTATTAGTTATTTAATTGTTACTGCCGAACAATTAATTGTTAACTTCATATGACAGTGGTCTTCCTGTGTTGTTTTCACCACTTTGTAGTTTGTTGTTCTTGGATTCTAATTTCACATGCTGCCCTGCTGCTTTCTGTCCAATGTTTTTAACTTTTTCCCATCCTGACCAAGATATCACCCACTGAGATACTGGTTTGGATTTCAATCACCGGCAACACTTGTCACAATGAGCAAAGACTTTATTGTTTGGCAGACGGAGAGGTGTTCTGAAAATAGCGATTCTCAGCCAGAATCACTACCAAGTTCTTGCCTGTCACCTCTCAGTTTGTACTTGTCCCTATGGTTATCCAGATCCAGAGAGCTCACAGCAGCCTGAGGTGATGTGGCTGAGGACAGAGCAGGATCGTCAGTCCTTTATTTTATCTTGAGGAGTGTGACTCTATATAAAATTTCTTTCTGCTTTCTTTTTCAGTGACTACAGGAAAAATCCAGAAACATATCGTCAATCAGGTATTTCCTCCACCTGCTCATAAACGAATTCAAAGTCATTTCAAATGCTAATATTTAAGCATTAGTAAATGTTTCAGACAGGTTGTGCTCATCATTAGCTACGAGCAATAGATAAAAATCTTGGTTCTGAGAACCAATAAATCACTCATCTGTGAAGGGTCATGTACTTTCTTTGTATGTCCTAACCCCATTCCTTCCTTCTAACCCATCCTACCAAAAATGGAAGAGCAGACACTATCTGTCATTCTGTCACATAAGTTTCTGTGACCATGTTGTGACTTCTGGAATACATAAACTCACAATTCAGGTGACTCCCCTCTGCTGTCTCAAGTGTTAATTCAACCAGCTAAAACTGAATGGCTGCCAGGGCCCACTAGAGCAGAAAGGTACCTCATGGTGACTTGCTTTCCTCACCATTTCCCTGTGCTCAGCTTGGCTGGTGTCTTGCTATCTGTTTCACACGCTCCCTGCCCAGTCTCTTTATGTTCTAATGTCTATGCTGTCACATAGGCATACTCTTTAAGGACTTGTGACATGAAGCCACCCATGGGATAAACCAGGAGAGGCCATCACCGAGATGCCCAGCCCACTGATCCCTTCTACAGGCCATTTGAGCTTCAGGCCCTTCACATGCTACTTGCTCAAGAGACTCAGAGAAGTCTGACATTGGCCTGTGGCAAAATACTGCTCAAATTTCACTCCCAGATACAAATCTCCATGTCTTGTTTTCTTCCCTTTTCTCTGGTATAAATTATAACTTACCGTTGCCAAGTGGAGAGGTGGTAAGTCTGCATTTATGCTAGGCAAGGCACATTTTTCTTTTTCTGTTGTTCCACTTTTTATTGTCATGTTTCTTTTTATTATCTTTTGAGTTAGCATGCAAATAATGGGTTTCAGGGGACTTTAGATGTACCACTATTGGTAGAGTGCTTGTCAAATGAACACCAGCCCTGCATTCTCTCTCTACGCCACATAAATTGAATGCGCCTGTAATATAGCTCTTACTGGTGGGGGCTTGGGGATGGGATGCAAAGTTCAGGCTACCCTTGGTCACCGAAGGAGTCGGTACCAGTCTAAGAAACTTAGGGTCTGTGTGGCAACCCCACATGCGTGTCATGCTTTATTCGTGTTTACCCCCTCCCGTTACCATTGTTTGTCTCCCATCCTTCTTCTTGTGGTCTCCTCTCTGCTTTCATATAGAGTCAAAATTTGGCTACAACATTCCTGAATAACTATCCAAGGAAATCTAACCCACATACCACATAAGTACCTGCCTGTCTGTGTTTTTGTGGCAATATTCTCCTTTATCTAACTCACTAATATCTTCAAAAAATTAACTCCAATTCATTCAAATAAAGGCATGGCTCTTGCCTAGTCAGTGCCAGAAACCCTTTAATTCATCAAGTTTTAAAACAATGAAAACCTGATTTGCTTAATAAATCCCACAAGAAAATCAATAGGCAGAATCAAGCGTTTGTCAGGCACATTTTTGTTTTTCTTGATGTGGTAGCTGCCCCAGTTCACAAAGCTGGACGCTTCATCAGTTCCAATCTGGTGCTAAAGGCCTAGTCTTCCACCCACATTGACAGGCCAAAGAAGGCCATGTCCTCATGTCAGAAAAGAGATGGCAACAGAAGCAGCCACAGGATAGAAGTTTGCCTCATGAGTGATACTAGACCTTTTCAAGTTGATGCTCAATATTAGCCATCAGAAATATCAACTATAATAGTAATGGCCAGTGCTACCAATGCCAACGGAGCAATTACTCTTAAGATAGGGAAGGCGTAGCGAGCTGGTAAACACTTAATTAGGAATCCAGCAATGTGTGTGTGTGTGTGTGTGTGTGTGTGTGTGTATGTGCACACGTTAAAGGATTATATATCTAAGACACTAAAAATGTGTAAAAATTTCAGTTTTCATGACAATGAGAAAAAAGTAGGTACATGAAGAAAAAAAAAAGATTCTATCATGAATGGGGGGTCTCAGAATACAAAAAGCAAAAAGATTTCTTCTCTTTTGGATTATGTCCAAAAATTTTCCCATTCCTTTCCCTCGCCCACTTGCTTTTGAATATGGTTGTAAAGGCTGTGTTAGCAGAGAAGAGCCACCTGCTTAGTAATTGCATGGTTGTGCAATACCAAACTCAGCTGGCCTCTCACGTGCTTCATTTACCTTCCGAGCTGTCTCTTTACATTCTTTAAACGTGATCAAGTGATTTTATAAAGTAGAGCCACAGTTAGGACCTGTAAAATTTATTGTTGTTATGTTTCCTCATAAAGAGGCCTGCTTTCCCCATTGATATAATGGATAAACATAGTATGAAAATCTATTGAACTGGGATCCTTTTGTTGTGAAGCTTCTGCCATGCATATAGTTTTTTTTCCTTTTCCCTCCCATCTGTCCCTTTGTCCTCCTAGTATATACTTCTATTTTCATATATATATAATTTTAGTCACATATGTATGGTTTTATGTATCTATAGAAAATCTAGGAACCACAGATATGAAGAAAGCATGGTATTGCCTTTCTGTGATGGGCTTAATTCACTTAATATGCTTATCTCCAGCTGCACTCGGGCATGTTCTTACAGAAGAATTTTTGTTTCCTGCAATGTTGCTCCTTTGTTCAGTTCACTAAACTAATAGAATGTGTGGACACCAAAACAGAACACCAAATATTTACTCATGATCTTAAACAAGAATCTGATGCCAGTCTCAATAAGCAACTGAATGTCTTTGAACTTTAACATAAGAGAGTAATGCCTTAATGTGTTTCTTACACAGGCCTTCTTAGAACCAAGAATTGAATTGTGTAATCTTTGTCCAACAGCTTACATTTCTAATACCACAGTGGAATTTCTATTCATCATTCTTCCAATGAGGGACGTGCTTCCCACTCTCAAAAACACAATTCAAAGATGGAGTCATCTGACAACCTTAATTTAACCAATTTCTGGAAGAAAAGCTAAGCCACCCCCTTTTGTTTTGTTTTGTTTTTTCTTTTCTTTTCCTCTGCTTTGTTTCATTTTTCTGAAACAAAGTCTTATTGTACAACCCAAGCTGGCCTGGAACTCACTAATATGGCTAGGCTGCCTTTGGACTTGTGGTAATCCTCCTGCTTCCCTCTTTGTGAAATCACTCTGCTACCAAAGGACTCTCACTCTTGAGAAGCATCTATTTTCACTGGGGGGTCGGGGGATGGATGTGTCTCAGCATGCTGTCAAGAGGTGTGTAGGAGACAAGTCTCCCCTACACTGTGCGTTCCAGGGATCCAACTCAGGAGTCAGGCTTGGTGGTAAGCACCATCCCACAAGCCCCAAGAGAAACAGTTTGAAAACCCACTTCAGATAATCAATATAGTATTCTTTATCAAGCTGCAATGCAAAAATGGAAAACTGTTGAGAATTAATCTTACCCCTAATCCTCCCCATCGGGCACTATAAATTGTATAATTAAACTGAAATAGAAAATCGAGCCTTTCCTCTCATCCTGTCTTTTCCCTGCAGTGGGCAAACAGAGCTGTGCACCAACATGAGAAGTCGAGGCTGGAGAGGAAGGGCTGCTCAGGACCCACTGGCTGACAGCCAGTGTATGTTTTTACCCTCCAGTGCCTTTGGCACACCTGAGCTCTGAGAACAAACAGTCATTTGAGTCCTCTGGAGGGAACCCCGAATACATTTTCATGTAACTCACTGGGGAAATCAATGCTTTTTAAAAGTAACTTCTTAATGCAGCTTGTTTATGGAAAAGGACAAAAGTGAGTAGCAAAGTGCTTGGCAGCTCATGTCCCAAAATGTCATGAATGCATGACCCATTGTTTTCAGCTGTGTCTTTGGCAGCTCACTGCTGTAGTAATCTCCTATCTGGGAAACGTTACTCATTGAGACGAAGCCTCCTATGGGTTTGCTAAATAATTTTCATCACGGTAGATTAAAGCAAATCCCTTAAAATACTACCAAAAATATTTTCAAAACCAAATCATTGTCATCAGGAGGAGAGAGGGGGAAGCAAAAACCCGAAAGCCTTTTTCCTTTTGCTGCTGGAAACAGCCTTGTTACAGAATCAACCATTACAACCTCCGGGAAATGAACACTGGCTGTTTATGTTCTTTATAACGCAGGTCATCAAAGCCCTTAGTGCATTAGGACCTTGGGGCTTTTCAGTGAGGTGACAAGGAAGAGCACTGTGTGGGGGGAAATCCATGCTTTATGAAGAGGCATATGAAACCACCCCTCTTCAGGAGCTAGCTCCAAAAAAGTTTTGTCCTCATTGGCCAGGTTAGTGAGAGCAAGTCCACAAGTGTGTATCCAGGTTATCTGTGAGTCTTCAAGTGTTGCCATAACAGATTAGTGCAAATGAGGGCTTTAAAACAATATAAAGGTATAGCCTTACAGGTATGAAGGCTATATGTTCAAAATCAAGGCTCCATCAAGGCCACTTTTCTTCTAAAATCAATAGACAGGATTCTTCCATACACATCTGAGTTCCTGGTGACTACCAGGAGCCTTTGGCAATCCCTGGCTCATTACATCACTTCAGTCTTTTCCTGTTCTCCTCCTATGATTCTACCTCCTTCATCTCGTAAGGATGTCAGCTCTACTGGTTTAACTAGTATTGATAAATTCATCTTGATTATATTTGTAAAGATCCTGTATCTAAAGAGGATCATAATGACAGGAAAGATATCAGGACTTCAATATCTCTGTCCAGGAGACACAAGCCAACCCATAGTAAACTGAAAATATTGGTTATCTGAGCCTTCTGCTTCCATAGCCACCACTGCTGTGAGGACTTTGCTCATGTATTAGATTCATCCTGGAACTTGTTCACAGAGATCTAGAAACCACTCTACCATCAAACTCTGGGCTCTTGGTTCCAGTGCTGAACACAGATTAGAGGACACACTTGGACCAGACTAAGGGACAGCCATGTGCTTCGAAAGGCTCTACCATGTGCTTAATAAGGCTCCAAGCGTCGTAAGTCAGAAACGTGCTCTCCCAC